TCCACACACCTTTCAAAACTGTATAACTTTTTTAAAAGTGACCTAAAGTAATTTGAAATTTTTTGTAAATCGCAGTATTTCATAAATTTCAATCAAAAACTGATAATTTTTACGTGTTTTAGGACCTGTAGCTTGACTATGCGTCAACCGATTTTAATACAATTTTCAGCATGCGTATGAGTTACCGAGAAGTTCCAAATGCGTTTTATAAATTTTCATTATAGACTCAAATAAAAAGATGAGAAAACGATAGTTCTTTTACATTCTTTTTTATTCCAAGTACGGTAGTTTCTCCCGGAAATACCAAAATGGTTTATTTGAGTGTGAGTCGAGTAAGAAAAACAAGTAATAAAAAGGTATGTGATCAATCTCCGTCGAATCGTGGCGCGTGGCCTTCACATTGCCATCGAATGTGGCTTCCGAATCGTGGCAAAAGATTTGAAATAAAATAGTTAAGTCATCGTTTTCACATTCTAGCATTACTGTGTATTTATATTAATATGCACCGGCATGTTGGCTGCTGCCTTTTTTTGCCAATTGCTCCAGGTTTCTATAAAAACAAGCCACGAGGTTCGAAGAATCGTGTCTGAGTGTCTGGCGATTACCGTCTGCAATTCCGAGCTCTGAGTCTTTTGAGGAGAATTTTCTGTAGGAGTAAAATTTAAATAAAAGTATTTTGTACAGTGAACTAGTCCCTCTAGCATTCACAAAAAAAAGTTTAAGTCATTTAGATGAGTTTCAGAAAAAGTTATACCGTTTTAAAAGGTGTGTGGACACTTTCGCTCGTCGCTGCATCTTTCTTCTTTTTATCATTTTAATAAGTCACACATGATACGAGGATATTCTTAAATTCATTTAATGCCTTCACAGTTTCGTATTTGACTTAGTTATTTTTGCCAAAAGTGCATAAAATCCGCTGTCTAGTCACGCAATTTCTGAAAAGACGTTGAATTATTTATTCAAGACGAGACCTGCCAATTCAAAGAATTTTACGCTACGACATTAATTTAGATCGAAATACGCTCAGAAATGAACGACGCGACGTGGAATATTATTTTAGCGCTGTTTCATGAACAGTAAGATACGAAAATATATAAAATCGAAACCGACCGATAAATACTCTAAGGCAGGGATGTCAAACTCGCGGCCCGAGATGAACATTTTTGCGGCCCAGTCAATATATCCGACGCAAAGTAAAAATAAAATAGAAATGTGAATTAGAAATTTTGAAAAAGTAGTCTCGACCAATAAAATTTCTCACGAAATAGGAAAGATAGTATCAGAGAAGAGATGTCAAGTATCAGGACGTAAACAATAATTTAACTTTATATAGGTTTATTACAATGTACTAGTCAAAATAAAAATATTTGTTTCTATGAACATTGATTTTTTTTTGCGGCCCACCTAAAGTTAAGCATTGTTTATTTGGCCCAAGTTAGCCTGTCTCTTATACACATCTAGATGTGTATAAGAGACAGAAATAGGAAAGATAGTATCAGAGAAGAGATGTCAAGTATCAGGACGTAAACAATAATTTAACTTTATATAGGTTTATTACAATGTACTAGTCAAAATAAAAATATTTGTTTCTATGAACATTGATTTTTTTTTGCGGCCCACCTAAAGTTAAGCATTGTTTATTTGGCCCAAGTTAGCCTGTCTCTTATACACATCTAGATGTGTATAAGAGACAGAAATAGGAAAGATAGTATCAGAGAAGAGATGTCAAGTATCAGGACGTAAACAATAATTTAACTTTATATAGGTTTATTACAATGTACTAGTCAAAATAAAAATATTTGTTTCTATGAACATTGATTTTTTTTTGCGGCCCACCTAAAGTTAAGCATTGTTTATTTGGCCCAAGTTAGCCTGTCTCTTATACACATCTAGATGTGTATAAGAGACAGAAATAGGAAAGATAGTATCAGAGAAGAGATGTCAAGTATCAGGACGTAAACAATAATTTAACTTTATATAGGTTTATTACAATGTACTAGTCAAAATAAAAATATTTGTTTCTATGAACATTGATTTTTTTTTGCGGCCCACCTAAAGTTAAGCATTGTTTATTTGGCCCAAGTTAGCCTGTCTCTTATACACATCTAGATGTGTATAAGAGACAGAAATAGGAAAGATAGTATCAGAGAAGAGATGTCAAGTATCAGGACGTAAACAATAATTTAACTTTATATAGGTTTATTACAATGTACTAGTCAAAATAAAAATATTTGTTTCTATGAACATTGATTTTTTTTTGCGGCCCACCTAAAGTTAAGCATTGTTTATTTGGCCCAAGTTAGCCTGTCTCTTATACACATCTAGATGTGTATAAGAGACAGAAATAGGAAAGATAGTATCAGAGAAGAGATGTCAAGTATCAGGACGTAAACAATAATTTAACTTTATATAGGTTTATTACAATGTACTAGTCAAAATAAAAATATTTGTTTCTATGAACATTGATTTTTTTTTGCGGCCCACCTAAAGTTAAGCATTGTTTATTTGGCCCAAGTTAGCTTTTCAGTTTGACACCCCTGCTCTAAGGTAACGTTGAAAATACAGCAAGGGGATAACTGAGAATTAAAATAGTTTGAGGTGATTCAAAAGAGAACAGTTGTTTTATTCGGTACAGTGGGAACAGTATCGATCGGTACAAGGTATCGGAAATTAATCACAAGGAATCCCTGTCATGGATTACAACAAGTGTCAGGCCATACGAAGCAGTACAGGTTCGTAAAGCGCACCGTAAAGTAATTAATCGAGTTATTGAAATTCGAATCGAGGGTAACGCGCCCGTGGCAACAGTTGGCCCGAATAAAATGCCGTTAATTAGCAACAGGAATGAACGTTAACTCTCTACAGGGTAGATTATCGTCCCCATTGCAGCCACTTCGACGATTTCTGGTGCGGCCACACAATTGTTACGTTTCGCTTCTATTAACTGAAACTAATTTCATTGATCGGATTTAACTGGAACAGCCGAGGATAAAACAAGCGTAAAAGTTGCATTTCCAGTGTTTACTTCATCAAACTCGTGAACAACCTATCTTCGAGATGTTGACTGAAACGCTAAGAGCGAGAAAATAGTCTTCTTCGATGCACACCGCGTTTCCAACCCGACTAAAGTTCTGCAACAAGCGACAGCCTGCAAAACGCTGACTTGGACGCAATATAACACCGGGGTTAAATTAGACGTTTCGCTTCTCAACGCGCTTACGAGAATGCATCGTCGCCAGAAGACTAAACTTGCTAAAATGTATGTGAAACAGGTGGCGAATGGCTTTGGTTTCCCTTCCCGATGCTAATTATTGTTCTCTCAACAGCGTTACCAAGTAGCAACTTGAACTACAAGAGAATGTGCAATAAGAACTGCGATGCTATTTATTCGAGGACTTACAGCTGTTACGTTTTACGACACTACAGCAGTGGAGCCAATTATTGTGCCCTGTTGACGGACTTCGGGAGTCTTCACTATTAAAAATAACTTCAGCAATTTAATTAACGTTTCTTAAGAAATTAATGGTAAATTTCAAAGTTTCTCTTATCGATTTAAATTTTCCCATGAAAAAAAATATCAAATCTTCTTTGAATATTAGATGAAAGTGTTAAATGAAGAATCGAAGTCAATTGTTCTTACTTTGCACATCAATAATGAAGGGATCAAGTTCGGTTGAATAGAAGCCAGTGTATTAAAAACGTTCCTCTTTCTACAAGTTTTCTTGGAATTATGATTAAAAATTATGAATCAGAATGAATAAGCAAGTAGTAGCAGTCTCGCAGACCGGCAATAATAGTTAAGGCTTAACCCGAGAAAGATAACCTACGTCGCAGAGGCGCCTGCGAAGACTGTTGATTTTTGTTAATTTTTCATAGAGGTCTAGTGATTTAAGTTTAAAATTACTTAAAATATAAAAAAATATAATATAAATGCATTTTATTTTTACAATAATGCCAAACCTTTAAAATGACTAGATTAACTTAAATAAATATCCATTGTTAGTATAAAATTGACGCCTTAGAAAAGCATGCGCCTCTGAAGCGTATGGTTATCTTTTACGTACGTTGTCATATGGTTATCTTTCTAGGGTTAAAGAAGGAAATTTTGATATGATTTCACGCCGAGCTACCCTTCTGACGTACCACCCAGTCAGGAATGCGTGACTCCCTCGGTCAACTTTCACGCGCAAATTGAAACAATTCTGAGCGGTCGCGAGATAACTAGTTGTTTAGCGAAATGAATGATTACGAAAAGCGAAAATGTACTCACCTCGTCGACCTCCCAGCCCTGTTTCTGCCAGAAGTAACAGCTAACAAAGGCGGCCACAACCACTGCCAAGGGTCCAGCGCCGCCGAGCTCGATCGCCTCACTTCCAAACACTGCCAGCAATCCGCCGCTTAATAACATCAGCACTCTCAAGGGCACCATGAAGGGCTGTAACAGATTGAAAGATCGATTAGATCGGTCTTCGGGGAGGGGCTTGCTTCACCGTGGTTTAACCTTATTGAATTTCGGATTGACTAACGATACTCCTAAGTGCCACCAGATAAGATCTGTTAATTGCCGTATCTCGCCNGACTGTTGATTTTTGTTAATTTTTCATAGAGGTCTAGTGATTTAAGTTTAAAATTACTTAAAATATAAAAAAATATAATATAAATGCATTTTATTTTTACAATAATGCCAAACCTTTAAAATGACTAGATTAACTTAAATAAATATCCATTGTTAGTATAAAATTGACGCCTTAGAAAAGCATGCGCCTCTGAAGCGTATGGTTATCTTTTACGTACGTTGTCATATGGTTATCTTTCTAGGGTTAAAGAAGGAAATTTTGATATGATTTCACGCCGAGCTACCCTTCTGACGTACCACCCAGTCAGGAATGCGTGACTCCCTCGGTCAACTTTCACGCGCAAATTGAAACAATTCTGAGCGGTCGCGAGATAACTAGTTGTTTAGCGAAATGAATGATTACGAAAAGCGAAAATGTACTCACCTCGTCGACCTCCCAGCCCTGTTTCTGCCAGAAGTAACAGCTAACAAAGGCGGCCACAACCACTGCCAAGGGTCCAGCGCCGCCGAGCTCGATCGCCTCACTTCCAAACACTGCCAGCAATCCGCCGCTTAATAACATCAGCACTCTCAAGGGCACCATGAAGGGCTGTAACAGATTGAAAGATCGATTAGATCGGTCTTCGGGGAGGGGCTTGCTTCACCGTGGTTTAACCTTATTGAATTTCGGATTGACTAACGATACTCCTAAGTGCCACCAGATAAGATCTGTTAATTGCCGTATCTCGCCGCACGGCAAACCTTACGGTATCGTCCCAATGAATATATCGTTTCCGTAGCTCAATATCTATTGTGTTTCTTTTCCGAATTGAAATCGACCCCTTTCTTACGAAATTAAAAATTCCCTTTAAATCACGGAATCTAATAACGTCTCTGTTCGCTCCACAACGGAGACATTTGGAACTAACACGATTGTGGTTCGAACAATGTTTTAGCTGTTTGCTTTTTTACTTATAATCTTTAGTAATTGACGAAGCGCTACTTCAATAATGTTGAAGTTATGTTTATATATAATAATAATATTATATATATTATTTTATTATATAAATATATAATATTATTATAACTTCAACATTACATATATTACATTATTATATATGTATTATAAAGTTGAATTATTTTTTAACGCTTCTTTCATCGATAAAAACATGGGGAAAGTAAAATGTTATGATGAGAATTTAGAGCTTAAGTGAAAAACGTATTTGATTTTGATATAGTCGAAGACAATTTAAATATTTTATCATCTGGAAAAAAATTTTAGTAGTGGAAGCAAAATCATAGTACAAAAGAGGCGAAGAATTTGTGTCACTGAAAGTGAAAGCGAGGATTCACAAGAAGACGTATGTAGACACAGATGAATGACGTGATGGCAACGAATTTATAAATGCGAAAAAGAGTAAATTATAGTGTATGGCCAAGAGTCATGATCAATTGTTAGACGAGATCGCAGAGGAAGATTAAATTACTACGCGAGGCATATTCTAACATCAAAAAAGTATTTAACAGTTTCATTTGGGAAACTTGGCACGATTTGAATAAGGATGAATTGTCGGCTTTTTACAGGAGTTGCTCTCAACATGAGCAGAATACCTTTGTTACACGAACAAGAATATTGCTCGAAGAAGCACAATAGTAGAATTCTTTTGTTGCTTAATGTATTCGTAGTAAAAAGATTTAATCAAATATCCTGTGTGCTGCATTACTTGATCCGACGAAATTTTAAATCTTCTATACATTGAAATAAAGTACTTATTTTATATATATATACTTTAACATTCTACGAATTGCATATGAAAAGTAATGTTATTTTATACTCCAAATGTGTAGTTTAAAATGTTTCGCACAACCAAAATAAGAAATGATTAGACATAAGATGTTGAACTAAATTGATCGATTAACTGAAACTACCGGAACATTTATATTTTCATCGCATTCGCTTTCAAAAAAGTACTTCCATCAAAAAATTCGTCAGGGAAACATCCGTAGTGAGGTAAATCCATATTGCAATACACACACATAATATGGAAATCTGCATTTCAGATACAGTTGACGATGTTGACATGACAGAAGTAGAAAGCATTTGAGATTTTATTTGAAAACGTATTGAGTCAAGTGAAAGATAAAATGAAAAACCTATTACAAATAAATACCAAATATCGAAAGTCTAGATAAAGCTTGTTTATACTTTTAAATAACCTAACATGTAATTAATGCAAAGAACATTTAACCAGACATATCAATATTTCAAATAATATGCAGCCAGATAAAACAATGTATTATTACAACTATTACATGCCGAATAATTTATTTAGTTAAAGACTAAATCAGTTAACCTAATATATTATAATTTCGGACAACATGTAGCCTGATAAGATAATACATTATTCCACCGTTCATTTTCTAAATAATTCATTCGAACAATGTCCAAGCATCTTACAGCATAGTGTCGCGCATCGAAGTTTCTATCGTCGCGCGACACAGATTGATTATCAAAATAGTTGGCAGTTATCAGAGACCGGATGGAATCGTCGGAAGAATGGTTTTGTACGAAATCGAGGATAAATCGGCGGGGAACGCGGTTCGATTGCGCGTAATAAGTTCTTACAAGATGACGCCTCGCCGGTTTCATCCCCGTGTAAAAGGAAACGGATAGCAAACTTTATCCGAAGTGTACTTCGCACGGTACACAGACTCGCGAGTAACTGCACGTTCGGGTCGTTTCGAATCGATGATGAACAGAGGAAACTTTGAGGCACGTATGTACATAGAGCGAACGAGGAAACGTTGTTCCATCCTACGATGAAATATGAATAAAGGGACGTGTGGGATTTTCTGATACGACGTTTTCTCCTGTACTTTCCTCATCAATATTGAAATTCCTGTGACCACCCTCTCCCCGTCACCGATTTTACAGCGTCTACGGCGCTACGAGATTTTTATCCCCGGCTTCATCAACCCCGCAAAATTAACGGATCACCGTATCACTGAAAGATTAACGATCTCGGAACTGTAACTTCGTGGGGAAAAAAATCGTAAGGTAGTTTATCCGACCTCGTTCGAAAGGGTCAAGGCTCCACTTTAAAATCCCTGAATGGAATCTTTTCGAAGACCTCTTTATATTAAGGAGCGGAAGAGGAAACTGAAATCGACTTTATTTTGGGAAATTTGGAATAAAGTTGAAACGATTCGAAGTGTGATAAAACGATGCCATTAAATCGTATGTGAATGGTTTAAGAGTTGTTATTTAAGCTCTGCGGAATATTTCGGATTTACGAAATTGTTTGAAGCATAAAACAACTTTAGTATTTCAGTTTGTTATTTAATATAAAGTGGTTTCAAAACAGATTCAATTCTATGGTGTGAATGCAGAGACTTTGGAATTAGCTTTCACACTTTAGAATTAGCCCAGATAAATTGTTCTATGATCTTTTTTCCACGAAGTTGCAACGGTTGAAATTATCCAACTTCACTTCATTGATTTGCTTTGCTTTGTCAGAAGACCTTCAGATAATGTACAAAATATTTCTTATCGAATTTGTCAAAGTTAATTTAATTTTTGTGAGTCGAATATCGCTTAAAAAGGATATAGACTTACAGTATTGTCTACAGTGTGACTAAATGTGTATTTGCAATTCATAAAAGTTAATATTTCATTAAAAAATAACGACGATTCATTGCAGCTAGGCTTTTATTTAGAAATTGACCCTTTTAACGTAAACTCGCCGATATAAGCAAAAAGTGCACACGGTACGTGCACTGAAAATACGTGGCGATAACAATGCATTCGTGAAATATTTCTCACAGCATCGCAACTGAAAGAGACATTTTGGCGACTATCACCGAGCGAGCTCGTATAATGTTCAATGTTCAAGTAGGTGGTTGCGAATTTAAATAAGAGTACCTACACGTCGCAATAAACTCGATTGCATTTTGCCCGAGGGTCGTAAGATGCGCCGACTGCAGTTTTCGCAGGGTTTCATGTGTTGTGCCACCGGACGTTATGAAATTTTCGTAGACACACAAATCAAGGAGACGTGTACGTAACCCGCACGTGTTCCCGGCGATCAGTCGACATGGCCACACATGCGATCTTGCGGGTTCTCCTACACGCGTGCTGATATTGCCATAAGTCGCTGAATATTGCGTCCCTGCGGCGGACATCGCGTACGTGTTTGCACGCGTGAATAAGTAAACATGCCCGGAGAGACTTTCAATAGCCGTGTCGCATTTGCGAGACGAATTCGGCAATTCGCGACAATTCGCAAATTCACGTCGCAGACCCTCGAGTTTCACGAGGAATCGTTACACCTGCGCTGACCCTCGAATAACATGTAATTGAACTGCATGGTTTCAAAATTTCTTTTTCGACGATTCTAAATAGAATTATTTTTCTCTATTCTAATAAAATTTTGGGCGTGTGACACCGATGAATTTTAGGGTTACTTTCGAAATGTATTGATCGTGTTATTTGAGGGTTGTTCGTATTTTATTTGTGAAATTACTTGAGATCGAAATAGAACCGGAAATTAATTAATTCTGGTAAGCCTGACAGAAATAGTTGCACAAAAGCTGTTAGAATTAGTGTTCCTGTTTGACAAATATTTTAATTACGTAATTATTATTTTTCATTAAGCCAATTTTCACTAAAAATGAAAGAAATTTTTGTATA